GGTATTTATCAGAAGAGGTTTCATTATGCACATGTTTGTTCAAATCCAAAATATAGCTTACATTTTTAAATTTGATAAAAAATTGATCAAGTCTTGCAGCTTATGCATGCTTATTTATGTCTAAGCTACCTAATGGAATTGGACAAAGGTATCCTTTGGAAAGAACAAATACCTAAGTAGCTAGGATATAAAAGGGAGTGAAAGCAAACAAAACCCGGGTCCAATTTCATTATTAGTTGGACGTTTCATGGCTTGTAGAGATATATATATGTGACTTTTCGGATCACTCTTGAATGTTGCATCTCTTTCTTTACATTTTCTTTGTTTGCCACATTTTTCTTTTATGGGAAGAAGATCGGTAGAACCGTAGATGACTCTGGAATGTTAGAGACAAGGAAAGAAAAAGAAAAAGCTAGCTGTTAATTTGGCAATGAAAGAAAGCAATGCCACGAAAGTTGAATGGTCGGTCCTGTTACTTGGCATCTAAAGCGTGCCATTGTCATGTGATGATCTGTTGGGATCAAGAAACACACAAATCAAACGCACTGGATCCATATCAGCAATTTAATACTATTGCCAGACCGATCTCCATCAGGACAACAAAGCTTTTCTTTTTGGTTAAATACCAAATTTAGTCCCTCAAATTTATAGTTTTGTACAGTTTTCGTCCCTTACCTTTTTGTTGCACTTTTTTCGTCCTCAATTTTGAAAAATGCACCCTTTTTTTTTTGTCATTTTGTCAATTACTCTATTAAGTTTATTTAAATTTACACATTTTTAGTTTTTAAACTTATAATATATATACATTTTTAGTTCATAAATTTATGTTTAGAGAATAAAAATGTATACATATAAATAGAATTAACAGATTAATTAACAAAAAGATGAAAAAAAATACATATTTTAAAGTAGAAGGACAAAAAATTTAAAATAGTTAATAAACTAAAATTTTGGCACTTAGCCTTTCTTTTTTTAATTTGCCAACCCCTACTATGTTTAACTTAAACGTGATTTATTAATCCAAGTTCTAACAAAGAAAACAGGGTGCTTCATATCTAAACTAATATAAGTTATTGTTCGTAAATCATACGATATTAATTGAATTAATTTTTGCTGTCATAGTCAACAATCGAATTGAGCACCATTGAATTGGAAAAAAAAAATTTTTTTCTGAGAGCTAAGGTGAATTTTGGTAGCATTTCTAAAAGAATATCTCAACAAAAATCATTGATACGAATGAAGGTATATGTGTATCTGTATATACAGAGGAATTTAACCACATACTGAGATTTTATTTCTTTATGTCTTTGTTTGATTTTGTTTATTGTCCTACATTGATATGATGAGCTGGTCATGAATGGGATTCCAATTACGAGTTCCTCTAGTACTTCTCAATCACCCTGAAAAGCTGGTCTTGTGGGATCTTATGCAAGATCTGTGAGTCTTTTTGGTTTGCTCCCTGTGAGTGTAACTACTACAGACGACTTCTGCCATGGGACTACAACAGTCTTTGGACTTTCTCCACACTCACAATCTTAACCGAACCCGTTCTTGATCACTGATTGCACAATGGATCGAACCATCGGGCTTTGATACCACCACTTATTGGGGAGTCAATCAAGTCGGCTCAAGAGTGAATGAATGAAAAAACAAAAACACATATAAGAAGATATTATATTGGAATTTAAAAAACATGCCTATTAAGTTCATAAGCCTCCAGATATATATTGCATTCTAACATTTTGTTTATCTTCAATGTGAAATCTTATGCATATCTCTCAATTCCACTCACATATAAATTTTGACGCTCCAACATATATATGGCTTTCTTGCTTGCAAATTTAGTTGATCAAAGCACTCATATTAAATGATATGTGATTGCTTGTTTCATACCAATTTACAGCCTGTATTTGAATTACTTATGTGGCCTACATCTACATGTGTGTGATGCGAATACAAATCTTTTTTTAGTATTTACAGTCAATGGCTTTTGATAAATTTTTACGCATTTCAAAATTAATCTCTTCTCGAACTATCTTAAAATTACAGTGCCACATTAACTTAATATATTTAAAAAATTAATTTTTTAAAATTAAAATTAATTACTAATCTCAAAACTTGGCGTATATGAATATCTAGAGAACTAGAACCATAAGGAAACTAAAGGCCAATATCCTCTCAGATCTGTAGATGGAATCATATTGGTTTGCTTCGCTTGTAGTCGGCCCAATACGAATTTTGAATAATATATGACCATTAAAAAATTTTCAAGTCCTATTGGCCCACGCTTAATGTTGAGTGGTTTAATGGATATGGACCCAGCCCACAAAATACAAGTCTTTCTAATGGACCGGGCCGTTGTTAACATCTCCCAATTCCTATTTGTGATCAGGAGGAGGTTGGTCTTCTTCTTTTTCTTTTTCATTTTTTATTTTTATTTTTATTTTTACCCCAATACAAAGTGTATTAAGTTATTATGATAATTGTGAAGTTAACCAAAGTCAGAATCTAATTTCAACTTTGCTCTACTTTTAGTTGGAATCAAATCCTTGAAGCTTTTCATTCCATCAAGTCTAATTTTCAATTAATGCAAATCCTAGTTTCTAAAGTAAGTTGACAAGGAAGGAAGGGTCATTAGACTAAAGGCTTAACGGCAAATAAAATTGTTAGACAATTAAGAATTAAGTGAAGAATTTTTTTTTTTTTTTTTGTGGCAAATAAAATCCATCTCTTTTGAAAAACTAGTCATTCTTAGTCTTTCCAATTTTCCATCCACTACCATTAGCACCTTTAATGGATGCTCGTTAACTTGCTGTTACAATTATTAAAAAGTTCAAAAAAATCCTCCATAATCCAATCAATTATTCTGTTTTCAACTCTTTATTTTTTTAAATAGCAAAAGGTAATTTCATAAAATATAAATGTCCTTCATTTTTAGACATGATATAACATTTTTTTATATCTTTTGCTTGGTATGAACTATGAATGATATTATTCATTTTATTTATAGTAAATCCATATAAATTTTATTTTAGAAGAAATCACTTGAATTTTATTTTTTAGTCAAGGAAGGAATTTTTCGATAAACTAAGGCTCCGTTTAATATATAGTTGTGGTTTTTGTTTTTAATTTTGATTTCTATAAAATTTTTAATTTTAAATAAAAAATAATTTACTTATTTTCAAGATAGTCATATTATTATAATTATTATAATAAATAATAACAAAATAGTTTTTATATTTATTAAACATGTTTATAGTTTTTGTTGTTAGTTTTAAAATTTTCTTTGAACAAATTTTTAGTTTTCATTACTATTGGTTGCAAAATTTTAGTTTTCAATAATCGATTCTTTGCATAGCCACACAACCAGCCACACAACCAGCCACATCACTTAACTACGTTTATTTTTTTAAAAAAATTTTTTAATTAATTTTTCAGTATCTAAAAATTATATTAAATTTCGATTAATTTGAAATCAAATTGCGACGGAGCTCAAAGAGAAAACTCTTCTAACGCATAAATTTTTATTTTTTATTTACAAAATTTAAAATTAAAATTTTATTTAAAAAAAATCGAATTCTTTTCACTAAGCTAATAGATAATTGATATTTTTTTCTATTTGACGATGCAGTACGAAAACTTTTTTTTTTAATCTATTTCAACCAGTGGGTAAACCCGCCACTCGTGATTTAAAGATCAACCTTTTTTTTTTTTGGTAAAATTACTTATGACTCGTTATGACCCGACACCTATAACCCCTGACCCGTTTCAACCCAACCCTAACCCAGCCCGGTCCGCCCGTTTGCCTGGGCTAAATTCTTCCCCAATAGAGTGTTGCAGAACACTGCTATCTCCTCCGCCCTTTTTCCTGGCACAACGATCTCTTCTTCTGATCTTCCTTCACCGCGATTCTCTCCTTCTCCGATTGTCCCTCACGATTGCCCCTTTTCCAATTCTCCCTTAGTTAAAAATTTGAGAGTAGAGCAACGAGCAGGCTTCTTCTGATTTTTCTTATTCTGATCCTCTTCCAATTGAGACCTAAGTGAGAAGAGCACTGATTTTGAGAGGTAAGCATCGTACTCTCTTTTCCTTCTAATTAGCTTCTAATTTTTGTTGTAAGTTCCTTGATTTTGTAACACAAAAGAAAATCTGAGTAACAGTGAGTGTGATGAGACTGTTATAGTTGCTACTACATCAGAATTTTGTAATTTATATTTTTTTAGTAGGGTTTCTTCTGTCTTTAATTTGGGGAGGAAAAAAATTAATGTCATTGCTTATAGTATGCTGCTTGAATCTTGGAAAGCATTCTCTAATTGCTCTGCCTTCTTATTAATAATGAGCAGGATCAGAATGTTGAGTTACAAAATTTAGGCCTACTATCTTGTAAACTCTGGCACATGTGAACATGCATTATTGTAGAACTGGTTCATCCTGTTATATTACTGGTATTTGGTTTTTCTGACCCCTGCTAGTAGAAGTTTTGTTAAACATTGGCTATGACTAATTGAGGAGGCCACTAAATGATTTTAAGTACATTACTGATTTATGATTGGAATTATTGTTTTGATACTCCTTATCTGGCATGCTTTCTTTTAAATTAAAATAGGGTTGCTCGTAATTTACTTATTGCGTTGTTTCACATCGTTTTTCCTATCTACCATTTCAAGTAATGAGACTAGAGATACTGGGGATCAAGGTGAGTGACGTAATAGTTGGCTAGATCATTCATTGTCGTATTGATAGTTCTAGATTTTTAGATGTGGATATTTAAATGATTTAGATGATATTGAATTTTATGTGTAATTTGACTTGGCTAGCTATTCCCAATTTATAGATTATTTAAGATATTCATTTTTTAATGGATTTTAGTGAACATTTAACTAGATGTGGATTTTGCATAATATATTAACAGGTTCTGAGCCTTGTACACCTGAGGGACCCACTCACAAGTGTACAACGTCTATTTTGCTCCTGGTTTGGGGCATTACAGATCAGCAGGGAAAAATGAACAATGGAGCGGATAAAAGATTGAATAGAGGAGCAGAGGAGGATGAAGATGATGAAGATGATGGGGATGGGCTTGAAGCATGGGAGAGAACATATGCAGATGAGAGGTCCTGGGAGTCTCTGCAAGAGGATGAGTTAGGTTTCCTTCGCCCCATTGACAACAAGGCCATTTACCATGCTCAGTACCGCCGGCGCCTTCGTTCTCTTTCTTCCTCTGCAGCTGCTACTAGGATTCAAAAGGGCCTCATCCGCTATCTCTACATTGTCATTGACCTCTCCCGGGTACAACTTTTTCCATGTAAAACAATGTTTGTCAAATATACTCATTCTCATTTCTTGATAAGTTGATGTTTATATGCTTCTGATGAGAATGGAGTTTGTCTAGTGTCACAAATTAATTTCACTAAAAAGAATGTTCAGTAACTTTAGTTCGGCATATGATATTAACTCACTTTTATTTGTTTAATTGTATGTAGGCAGCTGCAGAGACAGATTTTCGACCAAACCGGATGGTTGTTGTTGCAAAACATGTTGAAGCTTTCATTAGGGAGTTTTTTGACCAGAATCCCCTTAGTCAAATTGGCCTGGTGACAATAAAAGATGGTGTTGCTCACTGTTTGACAGATCTTGGTGGCACTCCTGAGGCCCACATCAAAGCTTTGATGGGCAAGCTGGAATGTTCAGGCGATTCTTCTCTACAAAATGCATTAGACCTTGTACATGGGTATCTGAATCAAATTCCATCATACGGTCATCGTGAAGTTCTTATACTATATTCTGCTCTCAGTACTTGTGATCCTGGAGATATAATGGAGACTGTCCAAAAATGCAAGAAATCTAAAATAAGGTGTTCAGTTATTGGCCTCGCTGCAGAAATGTTTATATGCAAACATCTTTGCCAGGAAACTGGTGGTATGTACTCTGTTGCTTTGGATGAGGTGAGTTCAACTTTTGGTATTTGATTACGGCACTGCACCTATGTATTGTCATTTTGTCTTATCAGCAGAATTAAAACTGAAAGGAGATTGAAAAACATGGTAGTAAACTTCATTCACATGCAATTTTCCGTTATTTGTTTTGTTCTTTTCTGTTTTATTCAATTGTAAAGGGAAAAGAGGGGGCTGCAGTAAGGGATTTCACACTTTCATTATGCTTTATATGAATTATATGAATATTATTGGCTATATAAAGCAGCAGGGAAAAAAAAGGAAAAGTAAAAAGATTTTGACCATATTTTCTTGGGCAGGCACACTTCAAAGAGTTGATATTGGAGCATGCCCCACCCCCACCAGCCATAGCAGAATTTGCAATTGCTAATCTGATCAAGATGGGATTCCCACAAAGAGCGGCAGAGGGTTCTATATCTATTTGTTCATGTCACAAAGAAGCTAAGGTTGGTGCTGGGTACACATGTCCAAGATGCAAGGCTCGTGTATGTGAGCTGCCTACTGAGTGCCGCATTTGTGGATTAACGCTTGTTTCTTCTCCCCATTTAGCAAGATCATATCATCATCTCTTTCCTATACCACCGTTTGATGAGGTTCCTCTATCACGTCCTAATGATCCAAATCAAAAGGCAAAGCGAAATTGTTTTGGATGCCAGAGCCTTCTTAGTCCAGGTATGTAGCCATGAGTACATAAGGTTTTGCTCTTCTTTTGTATAATCTTCTTAATTTGAATGTTTTAATAACACCAAAACTTTATTCTGGAACTAAATAGACATAGGGAGGCTTCATTGTTATTTGACATGCTAATAAGAAATATAATTTACTAATTTTACTTAAAAACTTTCACCTCGGAGACCAGAAAAGGAACAAAGATGCACGAGACATCCATAAAATGCAATGTAAAATATTAAAATTATTTGATTTGCCTTCTGGCATGCTCTAGGATCTTGTGTAGGAAATATTTTTTGGCACAGAAAACAAGGTATATGTTCTGCAGTGGAATGAAATTCTCCTTCCTTACGCATTTTACTGGTCTTGAAACAGGAAACAAACCTGGCCTTTCTGTTGCCTGCCCAAAGTGCCAACAGCATTTCTGCCTTGACTGTGACATTTATATTCACGAGAGTTTGCACAATTGCCCAGGTTGCGAAAGCTTAAGGAATTCTAAGTCAGTCATTGCAAATGAAACATGATAATGTCACAACCAAGGTTTTAGATTTTGATTCCAACCACACCATATGGTGTTTGTTTCTTGTCTGTTCATCGATGCTAGTCTTCTAACTCTTTTTTTGGCCAGAATAATTTATTTACATATTTAGATGAGAATGTTCCGTCCTGATAGGCCTGCTGCTGGGGTTTTTTCTTTGATTTGGCCATATCGTGCTGGTGCGGTTGAACTAATATTTGAGTGGCTATTCAGCTATAACATATTTGAAAAAAAAAATGAAAAAAAAAGAAAAAGAAAAGAAAGAGGGAAGGATAATTACAAAGTGGGAAATGTCATTGGTTGGGCTTGGACAAGACTTACTGAACACCAAGCCTTAAAATTTGGCTGCTGAACCAGTGAGCTAACAAGGCTGGTTCACCATTCAGCTTTAGTGTTGCTGTGCACCATGCTCAAGAATTCATTCTGAGAAAAAAATTTTTTTTTTCTTCTTTCACCACTTTGGTCATTAATTAAGGATTAATGAAGGGAAAAACTTGGAAATTTTGGTTGCCGGTGGTAAATTTCAACTTAGCTTTGCCCCAGATTAGAGCACAAGATAACTTGAGCAAATTATTTATTCGGGAAAAGAAAATATCACTCTTTTAGGTTTTTTTTTTAGTTGCATAATAAAAGGTATTTATCTCTTATATTTTATTTCACTTCACCTGCATGTCATGCGATTTGTATTTGTCTCTTGTATTTTATCTTACTTCACTTGCATGTCATGCGATTTGAACTCATAACTTTTTACTGTTGGTGAAATAAGATAACTATTAAATTATTTAAGTCGTTGGCATCATTGTTTTAATTGTTCACTTTATATTTAAGTCAGATTCATGTTAACAAATCAATAGATTAAAATTCGAAAGCCATAATTTCAGTCTAGAGTGTTAAACAAAAATGGATTGGCTTGGAAACCGCCTTAACACCGAGAGTGGACAGATCGCTGATTGGTCCCTACTAGCTGTTTTATTTTTTCCTTTTAAAACTAACATTTTAGCATATATAATCACTAATCATTCCTTGCCCCACAATCCCACCTTGCACCTAATTAATAATATCTAGTCACAATAATCATACAGCCATTCACATCAAACTAACATTTTAGATAGGCCTAATCGCCAACCATCTTTGATTCCATTCACTTTGTCTCAGCTTTGATGAATTTGACTATTTGCTCTAGATCCTCCAAAAGGCTTAATAACATAGAATTTTACATACATACTATAGTCATTTGTGGATTGCATAAATGAAATGGAATTTATCAAAACTATATATGTTGAGCGCTATAAAGAAATATTATAAAAGTAAATGAATTTTTATGAACTTGTAGCTTAATTGGTCAAATGTTTAATTCCAAAAATTCTAATGTCGGTTCTAATTATATCCTATACCCCAACATACGAAGGATATATATTTTTAAATATATATATTTTATTAAAGGAGATCCATGACTGTGTAGAAGAAAATAAAGATGATTAGAGGACCCACACCCCAATGATAAAGGTGTTTGCAGAGGACTGGTCCGACCGGGCTAAGCATTGTCCGTCTTCAGACACAAGATGACCGATTGATATCTCTGATGATACTTGTCTGGGATCTTTTGGAGAAACTAAGACATCTTTCAGATTAATTAGACTCAGAGAATCTGGGACTGCTAGATTTTGTTTCGAAACAGTTGATCTTGTTATGTGCAGAGGTTAATCTCATGTTTTTCTTATGCTTTTGAAGCTTTAAGGTGAGCAGATACGTACTGCTAGGAGGTAAGGTATATAATATATATTTCTTTCTCTTCTCTTTTGACCTTAATTGGTTTGGGTGTTTTTTTAGTCCAAAAGCAACTACAAAGAAAGAAAGAAAGAGAGAAGTGTGATATTGTGCTTCTTCTCCTCTTGATAAAGATTAAAAAAAAAAAAAAACCTTAAATTTTCAATTGATAATGTATGGTATTTTTAAATATTATAATTTAATTTATTAAAAATTTTTCGAGTCAACTCTTTATTAATTTTTTCAAACCAAATATATTACTAATGTTATCAATTTCTCCATCAATTATGCCCATGCAAAGGCAATGACTTGAGTGCCTTAATTCTGAACAATCATGGCTATGGGTGACAAACAAGCTATAAAACAAAGGAATATTTATTTATTGCTTAGCAAATGCTATGGGCCATTCCCATAATTAATATCATTGATTAATGTTTTCAAAGTAGAATGTGGGTGTATATAACTATATATTCTAAAGGAAAAAGGTGTCAACTACAATCTTTTTAATGCTTGTATTGAGGTATTCATTACGATTGTAATGGTTGAAAGGAAAATTGATGCTCCTCAATTACGTAATCGCAAAAAAGAAAAAAAAAAAAGGAAGAAGAAAAAGAGGCAATGTGCATGTCTTTGTTTTTCAATAAGGTAAAAAAATAGAGCCTCAAAATGGGTTTCAACTAGCAAAAACATAAAAAATTCGGTGTTAGCTTCGCATATTGGAATTGTAAGAGAATTAAGAAAGGTGTCATATATATATATATATATATATATATTTGAAAGTAAAAAAATATCTCCAAATTTTACCTCAAATTATTGGTCGAGTCTCTCAATATAAAAATTAACAATTAAGCCCACGATTTTCATAGACTTAGCAAATTGGCCCAAAGTTAATGACTAGGGATCATGTGATTACATATGCCTTTTGCTTTTGTGAGTTTTTCGTTTTTTGTTAGTCTGTTTGTCAATTATTTATTCTCTATGACATTTCCTTTTAACATAAATAACACTCTAGTGTTTTTAAAATTCATTTTAATATATAAGAAACAAATATTTTTTGTTAGACAAAATATTTCTCACAAAACGTTTCAACATTGCATCGAAGTTAGTAGTAAGTGTTATGGAGGAGTAATTAGTTGGTGAATATTGAAGGCACGTACAGTCATGTTATATGTGTGATCCACATATATATAATTACTTTGGGCCAATTTTGCTGCAGTTGTGAAGTTTTGGGGGGGTTTATTCCCACTTAAAAAAGCTATCTGACTTTCTAACCATTGAAGCCGCGTACGTAAAAGTCCCATATAGCTTATTTAGAATATAATTTTGCAAAAAAAGAAAAGATGAGAATGGGAAGAATGCGATTGTTGACCTTGAAAAGCAAGTGGAGATCCCCGTGATTGGCGAAGTTGATGATACAAGAGAACGAAAGCTAATGGACGAATAAGCAAAGGGATAATTGACTATTCATTTGTTGTGTTGTACGTTTCAAAGGCTGTTGTATCAGATGGGCAAAGACAACTCATGAGGTCGCATTCGCTGAGTCAAAATCTAGCCAAATAATTTTCTTTTATATATATATATATATATATAAATTCTAGACAAATGGACACCTTACCAAAGCGACCCATCACCATTGAATTTGTTCTGATTTTCAAGGAAGTTAGGGTTCGTTTCTATATATTTCAAATAATTTAATTAATTAATTAACTAATAACTTGTTAATTTGAAAAAAAAAATTAAAATGTTGAAAATAAAGTTTTAAGTTTAAGTTTTTTGAGTAGGAAAATATTTTTATGAGATTTGTTGTTATTCGATTTAAATCAATCAAATTTAATGTAATTTTTAAATATTAAGATCTAATATTAAAAAATAAATAATTTAATTAATATTTAATATATTATTAAAATAATAAAAAACTAATAAGCTTATAATAAATTACTAAGAAGATAATATAGCAAAATATAACACCATTCTCAAACGAAATCTAAGTAATTATTACTTCTTTTATGAATTCACAAGTTATTTGTCTATTTTTTTAAATGAAAGAATGAAGCTTGTTTCCTTATTTCTTCTTTAGAGAAAAAAAAAAGAAAAGAAAAGAAAAAAAAAACAACTTGATCCAGCATTATAATCCAGAACGTACATTTTTCCTCGCAGGCTGAGCACGCTTATAATTGATTATTATCTCCTCATCTATTATTTTAATATTTTTTTGACCGAGGTTGACCGTTGCAATATGCGAATGGCACCAACTCCCCAATCAAAAGTCCCACCAACACTGTCCCCCGCAGTTTCGTGAGGCCCAGAAGGACCAGAACACGCCGTTCCGTCTTTCGTCCACAAGGTAAAAGTGGTAGTGTTGTTTATTCCTCTAATCTCTTAAAAATTTTAAAAAAATTATTTTAAAATTATATAATTTTAATAAAATATTATAAAATTATTTTAATTTATATTTTAAAATTATGATATTTTTGTTTTTTAATAAAAATTTATTAAAATCATATAATTTTAAAATAATTTTTTTAAATTTTTAAAAAATAAAACATACATATTTTATTCTTAAAATATTTTTATTTTTATTCGTACAACGAAAACCGACAAAAACAAAAATAATAACCAATAAAAACATAGGACTCTGACCTCTGCTCCGGCCGCGATAAGCCGACAAATGCAATTATTTTACTTATCTTTTTAACGTGTACTTTTATAAGACGTGGCTTTAAAAGATGAATTAAAAATATATTAATTATATTTTTAGAATAAATTTTAATAAAAATATAAAAATAAATATTATTTTAAATATTAATATTATATAAATAATTTTAATTAAATAATTAATAAATTTAATATTAATTTTTATTTTTTATAAATTAATTATTAAAATATATACTTAATATACGGTAAAGATATAAATTAAAAAATATTTTATTTTATTTTATTTTCTTTAATAAAAAAAAGGAAAAAAAAATGGAAAAAAAAATGGAATTTGCTTTAAAGTTAGGCCCGGATTTAGTTCCCTCTTTCAATTTCGTCTTTGGACTTATTTTTCCATTAAGCACCCACAATACACGCCATGTTTAGCTATGGCCAGACTTTTTTTTTTTTTGGAAGATCAAAGTTACAGTAATCCTTTAGGCTGTTTGGCAAAGCTATTTTATATTTACAAAAACGTGTTTTAGAGAATATATTATATATTGATAATATAGTTTATTTTATAAATTTATTTAAATAACTCTAATAAAATTATTTTTTTTATATAATTTCATTTAGAATATTTAAATAAGTTTATAAAACAAATTATACTTTTAATATATAGTCTATTATGTAAAACATGAATCTCTTATATTTATCTTGTTAGTTATTTTTTAATTGATTTTATATAAAATTTATTAAATAACAAATTATTATTTAGTAATTAAAGTGTTGATTATTAAGCTTAAAAAAAATTGTAGATCCTGATTTTACTGAACTTGTTATTTAGCACTTTATTTACTAAATGGCAACTTGTTATTGTGAGGAACTCATGCGGTTCAATTTTAGTGCTCAAAGGTTTTTTTTAACTCATAAGTCAAAGCATCTCCATTCTCTAATGGAGTTGAATAATTTAACCAGCTTATTTTTTTAAAAAAAAAATCTTGTGATTTAATAAATACTAAATTTTATTCCATAAGTATAATAAAAATCAAATAAAAATAGGATTAATAAGTTGTAGCTTTGTCAAACAACCTCGTCCTTGTTAATTTCTTTCTCCATCCATTCTTTATCTCATGAAAAAATTGACATTTAAATATTGCATTAGAAAATTTTTACTATTTTCTCCACTTCAATAATGTAACAATAGATTTTTTTCCCCATTAAAATTTTTTTTATGTCGATTATTGCATAAGATATTGGGTAAGATAATAATATAATATTTCCCATTAATTTTGGCCTTAACTATATATACATAAAGAATAATATAGAGGCCTAATTAGCCTACAATAGTAAGATCAAGAGTATATGAAAATTTGGGGCTCTCTGAAGAGAATTTATCAAATTAAACAAGGTTTTTTTAACACCACACAAAAATATATTAACTATATATTTTTATTATTTTTATATACAAAATAAAAATAATTTTAAATTTATTAATTATATATATCATACCAATATTAAAAAAAATTAAAAATATTTTAATATTAAAAATATTAAAACATACAACCACAGTGAAAACACTTTGATTTTTTTTAAAAAAATAATATTTATTTTTATATTTTCTTAAAAATATATGGTAAAAGAATTGATTAAAAAACTATTACTTTTATTTTTTTTTTTTCATTTTTTAACAAAGAGAAAACCCTCAAATTTCTTCCCAGAAACGCTTTCATTCCTTTCACTGTGTTTCTCTTTCGCTGTTTCCTTTTCGCCTCTCAACTTGCTTTTTCCGCAGCAAACATTGTTCTCTCTGTTTCTTCTCTTTAATCTTCTTTTCACTTTACTTCCTCTTTATCCGGAGCTTCAACAACACAAGCACACTCGACACCAGAGCACGCTGTACTCTGCCATTACTTCTCTTTCGGGCTTAGTCTGTGGCAGAGTCGTAATGGAGAGAAAACAGGGCTTCTTTTCGGTTGTCCGAGGGCTGTCTCCGGGAAGGTCGCGGTCACGGTCTAAAAGTCCGGCGAGGAGTGCGTCCCCGATGTCGGGTCTGCTCCGCCGGAGGAGGAACCACCATTTAGCGCCGCCGGAGCCCTTCATTTACCGATCGGGGAGTTTGAGGCCGGCGGAGGCCTTGTCTCCGTTGAAAGAAGGGCCGGATCCAGACGGAGCCGAGGGTGGAGATTCTCGAATGGAAGGTAGGTGGGCTCAGTGGATGAAGGGACAGCTAGCGCGTGGACCCTCCGTTTCAACATCGGCATGTAAACGGTCCGATCTGAGGCTGCTGCTCGGAGTGTTGGGTGCGCCGCTCGCGCCGGTGCACGTTAGCACGGTGGAGCCTTTGCCTCACCTCAGTATCAAAGATACTCCAATTGTAGGTTCCTTCTCTCTCCTACCACTTCGTTATCTTCTATTTGTTGGTTAAATCCATTATTTTTTCTCTCAGCCAACAAAAAGGAAAACCCATTTTTTTACTGTTTCTGTGTTGAACATTTTTTTTGCATTTGTTTCCTGCTAAGGTTTAGTGTGGGTTTATCTTTTCCGTCATATTCCTATATCTGGGGGGGGGAGGAGAAGATGGAGGAGAACTGGAAAAGTGAGTGGTTAAGCCATATTGCATTTGATTCAGGGAATGTTATTGCAGGCTGCACCTTTATGGTTCATAAGTTCTGTTACTTTAATGCGTGTGTTGAACTACCCAAAATGGCACGAACAAGAGTAAATAGTTGATTAAAGGTTCTGATTTGATACTAAATTCCTTGTTCCTTAATTGGTAGGTCTTTATGAGTGTTTTTTGGGGGTTTAGATGGCAGGCAGTTTTGGTGGGGTTATTGTAGATTGTTGTTTTGAGTTTGTGTATTTTCCGTGTGTATCTAGTATATTGTTTAATGAGGTCATCATCTATCTCAAAAGAAATTTGTTCATAGTTTGTCTGCTATAGGTATTGTTTAAGCTTTCTTGGAGTCCCCCATTAGGTAACTTGACTTCAGGGTTCAGAACTTGGCTGAAATAATTGTTAAATTGGTATGTTGTTGCAGGAATCTTCATCTGCCCAATACATTTTGCAGCAGTATATTGCTGCGTCTGGTGGACAAAAGCTTCAGAATTCCATTCACAACTCTTATGCCACGGGAAGAGTGAGGATGATAGCTTCTGAGTTTGAGACAGCTAACAAGGTCACCCGGAATCGTAACTCCTCTAAGGGTGCAGAGTCCGGAGGATTTGTCCTTTGGCAAATGAATCCAGACATGTGGTATGTGGAGCTAGCACTTGGTGGTAGCAAGGTTCATGCTGGCTGCAATGGGAGGCTTGTGTGGAGGCACACACCATGGCTTGGTGCACATGCTGCAAAAGGGCCTGTTAGACCTCTACGTCGTGCCCTTCAGGTAAGAAATACCCTTTCTTACCTATTGAGTGGTGAGTACTGTTCTTTCATCTTGTCCTAATCATGCATGTTGATTTCACCCTCCTTTTTTTTGTTCCAGGGCCTTGATCCAAAAACAACTGCAAGCATGTTTACCAATGCAAGATGCATTGGGGAAAAGAAGATAAATGAAGAGGACTGCTTCATTCTCAAGCTGTGTGCAGATCCTGCAACATTGAAAGCCAGGAGTGAAGGACCTGCAGAGATCATAAGGCATGTGCTATTTGGCTACTTCAGCCAGAAAACTGGACTCCTTGTACATTTGGAGGACTCACATTTAACTCGAATTCAGAACAATGGAGGAGACGCTGTGTACTGGGAGACCACAATCAACTCATTCCTTGAAGACTACAGACCAGTTGAAGGAATTATGATTGCTCACTCAGGCCGTTCCATAGTAACTCTTTTCCGGTTTGGAGATACAGCAATGAGCCACACAAGGACCAGGATGGAAGAGGCATGGGCGATTGAGGAAGTGGCATTCAATGTACCAGGCTTATCAATGGACTGTTTCATCCCCCCAGCTGAACTAAGATTGGCTTCTATCAGTGAAGCCTCTGAGTTCTCCCAAGGCCCCACAGTAAAAACTACTGTGAGTACTGCACTTCACCGATCCAAAATCACAGCAGTTGATGGAAGATCATGACAGTGGAGGTAAGTTGGTTACAATAGCATCTGGAAGAAATACATTTTCAGCTTTTGTGCTGCGGTGAAGTTGTCACGGAGCTAGGGTAGTAGTGCTGTAGTGTTACTTGACTAACAATGTAGGAGGTGAATGTATAAGTTTATAGTTATCTGTGGAAGTTTTGGGCGTTGGATCAATGTCTCTTTGAATTTGTAAATAGCGCACAAACAGTCATCTACAGATCCTCTGGTTAATATTGTTACTAAGGCATCTATCAAGCAAATGAGAAAAACCATTATGGAACCAGCGATTTGGTTAATCGATCATGACTGTATGAAAGGATTTTCCTCCACATTCTGCCCATGCAAGATAAATATGGTGAACTGTGTTTCTAAAACAGGGGTCGTGTCTATTTCGTGGGAAATTTTTTCCTCCTAATTCTCTCTTACAAGATCATTTGTATATTTTTATACCTTAATACTACCACAAAAAAAGATAAATATGATCTTTTTAATTTTTAATTTTTTCTGACAGAACTCTCAATTAATAAATATTTTTTTTCTTTTTTTTATACTTTTTGTTTGAAGGAAAAGGTTTTTCGCATAACTTTATTTACGTGGACAAATTTCTTATTAACTATTCGTCAATTTCTTACTAAATGTATACAAATTAATATCTCAATAAAAATTTAACAAAATTTTATTATAAAATTTATGGACTTTTTAATGCTGTACTCTCCAAATCACTTTTCAATAAAAATTTTTCCAACAAAGTTTTCGGTCTAACTCAACATGCCAGAGTGAAAACTGAAATGGAAGAGACTAAACCCATGGGCTTGTGCGGTTGAAATCGATGAATGGATTAGGGTTTTTCTGCTAACTGGTAATGGATTGGGTCTACTATTACGGGACGTAAAGCTCTGCATTGTTACTGGGAAACCCATTTTGCTTTACCTCTCTTTCTTCTTCCCTCGTGAAATCCATACAAATAGCAGAGACCATCAACTTGCTTGCCATGATCAGAACTCAAACGAATTCAGGGCTGCTGACTGTAGTCTCAATTACACCCTGACTCTGGAACAATAGGTAATGGGTTTACTCTGGGATCAAATGTATTTGTTTCCTCTGTTAGCCTGCAAATTCAGTAATTATTCAGTATGCCATTTCTATCTGTGGAGTTTATAAAACCTTTTATGCTTATGCATGGACTTTTAGGAGAAAAAATTTCCTTTTCTGAAAAAAAGGGTGCGGCTTATGGGGAGGCAACATAGTAGGATTGTTTGCCCTTTCTCTTTGGCAACTGATTTAAAGGATTCTAAACTGGAGCAGCTGCCTCTACAGCGTGGTAACCTAACCAGGAAAAATCAGGTATGGATTACCAATGTTTGTTTCAGGACGTTGCTCATTACATACATGAAAACATTATTGACTCTATAGATATTCCTCCTGCCACTTCACCAGATGCTAGGGTCTGGAACTATGATCTGGGTAAAATTAATAGAAGCTTCTCTAGTAGTAACTTGAGGTTTGTTTTTTTATTAGTTAAGTTGTTTGATCAAGAAAAACTTAACCTTTTATGTTGACTGTTGAGAAATTAGAGAAGCGAAATCTTTATCTATCTATATTCACTTTGTTTACTGTAATTTGATTGCCTATCTATTCTAGATTATAAGGAGCTTTGAAATTAATGAAGTTATTTTGCAAAATCTTTATCTATCTATATTCACTTTGTTTACTGTAATTTGATTGCCTATCTATTCTAGATTATAAGGAGCTTTGAAATTAATGAAGTTATTTTCCATGCGGATTGCACGAACAAGGATTAAAGAAAATAATTTATTCATCCCAATACAGCCCTTCCATTTAGAAACTGCACTACCCTAAAATCAAACCATGGGTAGAGAAATAGTATCAGCAGAAGGAAAGTGTCAGGCATAAGTGAATTTTTAATTCCACTCTTGCTTGACAGATTGAAACAACTAGTCCTCCTTTTCATGCTTTTTTTATCTTATGGTATAATGTTAAAATATGGTAGCCGCATCTTCTTGAGACCATCAACATTTGTACTAACTCTGCTTTAATCTACTTCTAGATTCTGTTGTTGGCAAAGTTTTGCTAGTTATGGAGTTTATATTTATTTGAATATACTAGCTGAGGCTGGTGAAGGGACCACATTTTGATTGTGATTTAAATAGACCATGCCCATGTTGGAGCTGTGGTCCCTCACACTTGATTGAGTTATATGCAGCCTCCAACAGATTTCACTGCGTTTCATTAAACATTACTAGAGCTTTAAAAGTGGAAGAATTGAAGGGCATTCTAGGCTAAATATCAAACTTCACTTTGTTTGTATCTTTCATCTATTAGAAGTCATCCTCATATTATTTGATCATTTTAGTTAAAATGGTGAGGTTTATTTCTTGGTGAGGCTATTGTATATAATGTAGAGGTCTTGGGTATGATGGTTCTTCTTGTAGTCAAATTTTGTGTCTTTATATTGGCAGTTTCCATGGATAACTAGAGTTGGGAAGGAATCCTCTCTCGTCTCTTTTCCCATGACATGCGGTTACCATGACGCAAATCTAGGATTTTTAACTTCAAAAAACAGGGAATAACTATTGCACACTCAAAAGTTAATCCAGTTTGATATGATAGGATTAACTTTTCTAGAAAAGTTCCCTTGTCTTCTTACCCTCTTCAAACTTGCTTTTAGATAGAGGAGGGGCGTAGTATTGTAGGTAACTGATGACACTTCAGACTAAATGTCGAAGACGCCAGACAGCATAATGACAACTATGCAAAGGAATGACCTAGTTAAGAGCCTATTATTGAAATTTTGGCCAATACCCTGTCTTTGGTCGCATAAGACAAAATGGTGAGAACAAAAGAATGTAAAATGGGGAGGAGAAAAACACCGTGAAAGAAAGTGATAAAAAAACAAAGGTGGAAAAGACATTGCTCTAGACCAAGAATTTAGCATAGTGATTACAAACAACAAAAAATTAGGGTGAGGACCACATTTGCTTTCTGACGTGGCAAGCACCGCCTGGCAAAGAAGAGAGTTAAAGAACTTTGTCAACAGAAGTTACCTCTAAGTACCAGTCCCGAACAGGTTTGAAATGCTAATCATCTTTAAACTTACTAACTATGATATTTATCTCTAATGACTATTTCATCTTCTGAATCAGACATCAATTATGAAGAAAACCATGGCTGCTTATTCTTCTTCTAATGCTTGAGCTACACAACAGGTAATAGCTTTTTTCCTTCCTTTTAATCTTTCCTTTTATTGAAGACAGAAATCAAATCTAGTTGATGCAAATGTTAAAGACTTTTACGCTCAACTAGTCAGCAACCTTTGTGGTTGCTTAGGCCCAATATAAACAAGTTGAAGTAGAGCAGCATCAGTTCTTTTTCGCTAGCAGCTGGCTACGTTCCACAGGCTGAATCCTCATATCATATAGGCTTTGCCTTGCAAAATAAACTAGTATATGATCTTTCTAAATCCCTCTTGGTAATTGTCCCAGTTTCTCAAGCTCCTAAACAGATGCAACAAAGTACAATATGTGTCAGGATTAGCATCATTCTCCCTAATCACCCCTACTAAAATTGTGGAGACTTAACTACTTCCAAGGAGAAGACCACAAACATCTCCCTGTTTCATTTCAAATGTAAAGAGTGCTTCTAGAGTTTAATATTATAAAATACCTGTTCATGTGCTGCTAGGCGTCACTGCACCACTTAGCTACTTTTTCCTCATTCACTTTCCAATTCCTTTGTCACCTTGTCTAATACTTTATACTAAGAACTCTAACCCTACCGACTTCCAGGAAACCATAGAGACTAAATCTTAAACAGAGAAATGGATTCTCTGAAGAAAAAGGGAAAAATAATCCCCACCTGTACCCCTACTAACCCCACCAATACTGCTAACCTGGGTTTGGAACAGAACTGTGTCAATCCCCACTGTTTCTTTTGCATCATGAAAGAGCCAGATTCATCTCTCAGAAGGGCTGGAATTGCAAGATATTTCAAGGAAATGTCTCTCAGAGATGACCAAGAACATGTTTTGGTGCTGAGTCATATATGGAACATTGCCATGACACAGCCAGATGATCCAGAGTTACCGTCTCTTGGCATCTTTAACTGCATGGCAAGTTTGATCAACAAAGGTGTCAACAACAGAGAATGGCTTCTTAGGGACCAGAACGTTTATATTCCGTATTATGCTGCTCATGTAATCGGCTCTTATACCATGAACAAGGTTGAGTTTGCAGAGAAAGCTGTGAAATCAGGTGTCATACCTCCATTAATGGAGCTTTTAATAGGAAAGATCAGTTGGGTCGAGCAAAGAGTTGCAGTTAGGGCTCTTGGTCACCTTGCTAGTTATGAGAGAACCTTTGAAGCAGTAGCAGCTTATGAAGATGAGTTGGTGAGACTAGCTATGCTGTTAGCTTCTTCTTGTCTGGATGTAGTGTATGTCAACTTTGTAGGGGTCAAGGATAAGCACAAGAGACTGAAATATCACTCTGACTTGCTTACAAGAGGAGTTGGAGGGATAGAAATGGAGAACCGGAAGGCTGAAGAATGGGCTAGCCAACTCCAGTGCTGGTCTATTTATCTTCTCAACTGCTTTGCCTGCAAAGAGAGATCTTTGAATCTTATTTGTAAGCAAGAGTTTCTGAAAGAATTGTGTAGAATGTGGGGTGGATTGGTAAATCACTCATCGCCAGCTGGTGTTGGACTGATCAGAATCTTGTGCTACAGTCATATTGGAAGAAAAAGCATCTCAGAATCTAAAGAGGTTTTGGAGAATCTATGTCACCTCTCAAGATCATCTGATGATTGGCAGTATATGGGAATTGATTGTCTTCTCTTGCTTCTCAAAGACCCAGATACGAGGTATAACGTTCTTGAGATTGCCACCATGTTTCTCATCGATCTGGTTGAACTGAAAACCCTTGGAGATAGATTAGATTTGGGTGAGGCAATCACAAAAGCACTCCTTTTGGGTTATAAACCGAGCAGCAAACTTAGGTTCAAGAACAGCAAGGTTCAGAAGGCACTGCAAGAAATATGGGAGTTGAAGGTGGAGAAGAGAAAGAGAGAGAAGAAGATGTCTAAGGAAAAAATTGAAGAGAGAAGGGTTTTAGTGGGATTGATTAAGCAACAAGCAAACCGTTTATTTTGGTTAGGAGATGTAGAGGCTGCTGTTAGAAGCTATACTGAAGGATTAGATGCATGCCCATTAAAGCTTAGGAAAGAGAGAATGGTACTTTATAGTAACAGAGCTCAGTGTCATCTGCTGCTTGGAGACCCTGATGCCACCATTAGAGATACAACTCGGGCCCTTTGCCTCTCCACTCCTGCAAATTCTCACGCTAAGAGCTTATGGAGAAGATCACAAGCTTATGACATGAAAGGACTGCCCAAAGAGAGCTTGATAGATTGTATAATGTTTGTCAATGGCTGCATCAACTCAGAATCGACTGCCAAGAAAGTCAAGATCCCATACCATTCAGCGCGCATGATCAGTAAACAGATGGAAGAGACATGGCTTTTCGCTGGTGCCCAGAAAAAGGCCACAATTGGAAATGACGAAGATGACTATGAGACTAAGAGTTTCAATGAAGAACTGGATTATGATTTACTCATGAAGTTGGTGGAGAAGAACAGTTCTGCATGTGCATTGTCTAGTAATAAGCATTTGTTTATGTTAATCCTCATCTAGTGATGAATGAATAGGAAGAACCTTACATAACTGCGCTTTGTTCTGGTTACTTTTTCAGGTCTGTCCACCATAATTGAAGAGCCTTTCAAATTAAAGAAAGGCAACAGGAAACCAGAGCTCAAAATGGGGAAAAGGAGGAACAGAGCTGTTGTGGCTCGATCAATGTAAACCCTGTTGGCTACTTCGGTTGTACAGTTGTTCAACCACATTAATATTTGCGGTACGGTTCTTTATTTATGCCTGCAACA